GTGGAGGAGGTGCACGGTGACGGGCTGGAGCTGGTGGTGGGGGACGCCGCGGCCCTCGCGCCCGCTCCCCAGCTTGGCGCGGCGGTTCGCGCTCGCCTTCGCCTCGATCGTCTCCGACTTCAGGTCGTCAAGGGTGCCGCGGTGCCCTTCGACGACCGCGACCTCCGCAGACCTGGCTGGCAGGCCGCCGATGCCGCAGCTGAGGTGGAGGTGCCCCCGACGCCTGCCCAGCAGCGCGAGGGGCTCCGCTGGGTGAGACGGCTTCTCGCTGACCCTGGGGCCTGGTACGGAGGCGCGGTCTGGGAGCCTGAGTCCATCGATGAGGCGGCCAGACGCATCGACGGCGCGGGCTCGCGCCGCGCCCGCCGTGCCGCTCGCTAACCCAGCGTGCCCGCTGCCGCGGCGACACTCCTCGAGCTGGACGCCGCGGCCCTCGCGCCCGCTCCCCAGCTTGGCGCGGCGGTTCGCGCTCGCCTTCGCCTCGATCGTCTCCGACTTCAGGTCGTCAAGGGTGCCGCGGTGCCCTTCGACGACCGCGACCTCCGCAGACCTGGCTGGCAGGCCGCCGATGCCGCAGCTGAGGTGGAGGTGCCCCCGACGCCTGCCCAGCAGCGCGAGGGGCTCCGCTGGGTGAGACGGCTTCTCGCTGACCCTGGGGCCTGGTACGGAGGCGCGGTCTGGGAGCCTGAGTCCATCGATGAGGCGGCCAGACGCATCGACGGCGCGGGCTCGCGCCGCGCCCGCCGTGCCGCTCGCTAACCCAGCGTGCCCGCTGCCGCGGCGACACTCCTCGAGCTGTCGCGGTAGCCTCTGGGCGCCATTTTGCTTCTTGGAGGCCGCAGTTTGCGGAGCCTCCTAGCCGCATTTTGCGGCTCTCGCCTTCTTGGCGGCAGGATCGGCTCGTGCTGCACGGGCTGCCTTGTCATTTAAAAAAAGCGGCTCCAGTCCGAGGCATTTTTGTTACGCTTGCTCCTGTCGATTGTGCCGCTCCTGGGGCACGGCCCTTCCCAGAAAAGGCCCACGAGGCACCCGCAGGTTCCTGGAGGCCCCAGGAGCCCCAGGAGGCCCCAGGAGGCCCCAGGAGGCCCCAGGACGCCTCAGGAGGCCGCAGGAGGCCCCAAGGGGCCCCAGGAGGCCCCACGAGGTCCTAGGAGGCCCCGAGACGTTCCAGGAGGCCCCAAGAGGCCACAGGCAGCCCCAAGAGACCCCAGGAGGCCCCACGAGGCTCCAGGAGGCCCCGCGAGGTTCCAGGAGGCCCCAAGAGGCCACAGGCAGCCCCAAAAGGCCCCAGGAGGCCCCACGAGGTCCCAGGAGGCCCCCAGACGGGTTCCCGTGGCTTGCTCGGCGTCCTCTGCAGCAGCGCTGTCGCCACAAAGGGGGGCCAGGGGGGGGGGTCCGAAGGGGGCAAGGCGGAGGAGGCGCGCGCGGGCCCGTGCCCGCGGACCACCCGGGAGCGTCGCCGGAAAAACAAAGCAATACATTATTTCACATAATTTTTCACGGAACAAAATGGAAAGAAATGGATGAGTTCTCGGATTGGAGATCGTGTTCGGTTTTTGGCTGAGTGTTTGGCCAAGTTTTTTGATTGTTCTGTTGGGCTGGCCTCCAGGGGCAAGTTTTTGGATGAAGCTTGCCCCCCCCTGCCAGGAGAGGCTTGTTGATGAAATCCCAGGGCCCCCGGAGGCAGCTTTTGGACGAGAGCCGGGGCGCCCCCAGGTGCAGTTTTGGGGTGCCCCCTGTTGCGTGCGAGGGGGGCCTCCTGGCGCGGCTGCTTCTGACCGCATTGCAGCTGTCGGGAGCGGAAAGGAGGGGGGTGATGACTAGGGGGGGGGGGGGGGGGGGGGGATTTCATGGCGCGGGCCATGATTTTTTCCTCAGATTTCATGGCGCCTGTTCTTATTTCACTACGTCCCAGGCCCCCCCTCCCCCCAAAAACACCACACACACACACACACACACACACACACAAATATATATAATATAATATATATATATATTATATAATATATAAAATATTGTAAAAAATGCCAGTACTCAGGTTTCCACATTCACAGAGCCAGACGCATCCATACTCTCTCGCAGAGTCACTGACACTCACACTCTCCGGGTTCAGTCACATTCAGACTCACTCACACTCAGATCATGCATGCGCGTATTTACATATTTTGACATTATTCCCCCTTTTGGTGGTCCAGTGCCCACTCGCCCTTCCATTGGTATTTCCCCCATCCCATCGAGATTTTGCCGGCGAGCGCTCCCGTGAAGTATTAGGGCCGCATGATTACCTTTCAAGATGCTGGCGCGACGGAAGTCGACCACCGGATAAGGCAGGGCTGGAAGGCGTTCATGGCGAACAAGGCAGAATTGACTAACCAAAGTTTCTCCCTGAAGTCGAGATTGCGCTTGTTTGAAGCAGTTGTAACACCCGCTGTTTTGTATGGAGGTTCCAGTTGGGCTTTGAAATCTGAAGTCGGGCACAAGTTACAAACGGCACAGCGTCGCATGCTGCGAATGCTGTTTGGCTCTGGGCGGCGACGGGAGACGCAGCAGGAAAATCAAGCACCGGGAGGCTGCGAAGCACCGGACGCGAGAGAGAGCGATGATGACAGTCATGTTGATGAAGTTCCTGCTGGCGGAGCCTTGGAGCCATGGGTAGACTGGATAAAGCGTGTTATTCATCATATTGAAGAGCATATGAACAAGCTGCACATCGATTGTTGGTGGGAGGCGGCGCGACGAAAGATCTGGAAATTTGCTGCCCGGATAGCAAATATGCCCAGTGACAGATGGGCTGTGAAAGCAGTCAATTGGATTCCTGAACTTGACCCACGCGCCCGGGGGAGGCTGCCGGGGAGACCTCGAAAGCGCTGGGCTGACGATGTAGTCAATTTCTTGCGTGATGCCGGCTACGACGCCCCTGGCGGGGACTGGATTTCACTTGCTTGCAATGTAGAGTTGTGGATGATACTGCAGGACGGCTTCATGTACGAGTCCATCTGAGGCACTGCGGTGCCATCCACCCACGCCCCGCGCAGGGCCGGGCGCTGCCCGACATTGGGTGTTCGTTCGTTCGTTCGTTCACATCTCTCCTGGACGATGCCTACTGCAGTCGCTGAAGTCGTCGCTGTCGCCGTCGTCATTGTCGCGCCCGTTGTCCACGCCGACTCGCTCTCACACCCAGATGCTCAAAGACAGAATTCTTCAGCGCGAAACGACAGGAGCATGGGATACACGTATTCGAGCTCCACGCAGTGAGTAATGTGAGGCTATTTTGGGGACCCCCGAGCTCCTGGACCCCCGCGCGCATTCTGCGAAAAATTGGGGCGGGGCGGGATGGGCGAGGAACGGCGACGGCTGACGACGACGGACGACGAACGGACGACGGATCACGACGACGACGACGACGACGACGACGGCGACGACGGCCACGACGACCACGGCGACTGCGGCCGCCGCGATCCCGAGGACCAACGTAGAGCAAATTGCATTTTTACATGGGGTGCGAGTTTTTTGTTCAGGCAGCCTGGGAGAGCCCGGGGGGCCACGCGCGAATTGCGCTAATCTGCGCAAGGGGGGCGGGAGGGAAGAGGGAGGGGAGGGGCAAGGAAGGACAACGACAGACGACGTTTGGCGATGGGCGAAAGACGACGGCAACGACCACGACCACGACCACGACCACGACGGCAACCACCACGACTACGACCACGACGACGACGACCACGACGACGACAAAGACTGAGACGACGGTGGCGGCGGCGACCACGACGTCGGCGACGACGACAACGACGACGACGACGACGACGACGACGACGACGACGACGACGACACCGACAACGGAAAACCGCCCTGCGACGCAGCATGGATAAGTGCGCGACGCCGAAGGTCACTCAAACTGTCTTGAACGGAACAGCGGGGGCGTTGCGATCAGGGCGCGTCTCGGCGCGCCCGCCGCTGACCCGAAGCGGGCGGCTTGGCGGGGACCCCCCCCCGCCGTCGCCTCGCGAAGTCCGCCAGACCCGAGCGCGAGCCTGCGGCTCTCCCGCGAGCCCCAGGCGCGACGCGCGGCGTCGCCGCGTTTTGCCGCTTGCGGTTCGGCCAGTTCCCGCTCGGCGCCGCGCCCTGCCCCGCGCGCGTCGTCCTCGCAACTCCGCCGCGCGCTCTGGCTCGCAATCGCCGTGCGCCCGCCGCTGGCCCGAGGGGGCGGGGGGGCGGGGGCCCCCCCGCCCTCGCCTCGCGAGTCCCGCCCGCTCAGGGCCCGCGGACGCCCGTCATCCCCATGCGTCGCGCGCACGTCGCCTCGTTTTGCCGTTCTCGGTTCGGGGATGTCCTCCCCAGCGCAGCGGCTCCCCCGCGCGCTTCGAGCGCGCAATTCTGCCCCGCGCGTTCGCGCGCGGTGTCGAGCCGCCCGCCGCTGGCCTGGGCGGGTCGTCCAGCGGGGCTTCCGCCTCTGCGATCGCCGTGCGATTCCGCGCCGTCCACGGAGTCTCTGGATTCCCGCCGCGTCCAGGCGCAGCGCGAGCGTCGCCGCGCACTGCCGTTTTTTCGGCTTGGCCAGGGGGGGGGATCGCGGAGAGGGCTTCTTCGTCTTGCGGCTCTCGGCGGTGGCCAAAATCGGCGGCGGCGCCCGCTGGCAACGAGCCCCCGCGTTCGGCCCAGCGCGCTGCCGACGTCGATGCGACCCCGCCGCGCCTCGCCGGGGCGGTGGAGGGCGAAGCTGGGGGCTCGACCGAAGCAAGATGGGCTTCCGGGCGGTGATGGAGGAGGGAGGGGGGGCCGCAAGGGGCGAGACCGTGGCGACGCGCCGTAGCCGATGCGCGGCGGATTCGAGTCGCGGCCTTCCAGGCGAAACATCCCCCGTGCAATCGGACACGGTTTGTTGGCAGCGGTCCGCGCGGCCCTGTGCAAATACAAGCTGTTGGATGGATCCGTCTTGCACGCGGGGCAGAGCTGAGGTGTTCGGGCCGCTCCCGCGATCCAGGTCGGAGGGCCTCTTCGCGGCCAGGGCCCACCGTGGCCAGAAAAGTCTCTCCGCCCCTTCTTATCGGGGGAGCGTAAGACCTGGGTTTGCCGGGACTCGGGTTCGCCATCGTTTTTTGACGACCGCGACTCGGATTTTGACGAGGAGGAGTTTCGTGGGATGTTTGCAGCGGGAGGCCTCGTCAAAATGCAGGCTCGGCCTCGTCATTTTTTTGACGACCTCGTCGGGGATTTCCGAGTCCCCCGTACCCGGGTCTTACGTCTCCCCGATCTTAGCTTATCTGGCGTTCCCTGCGGTCGCGCGATGGCTGCGCAGCCCGGAGCTGTGGCTCAGCGCGTCGCGCCGCCAGTTCTGGCCCACCGCGCTCCAGCGCGGCGTGCTGCTCCAGATTTCGTAAGAAAAGGGAGGGGGCCTGGACCCTCCAAGACGAGCCATTTCAGACCCCCCCCCGTGGGAGAACCCTCCAGAGCATCGTCCCCAGACCCCCCCAGGCCCTCCAGGATAGCCTGGAAGAGACCCCCCCCCCGAAATGAGACCCCCCTCCCTTTATTACGAAATCTGGAGTACCACAGCTGGCCCAACAGGTGCGCGAATGATGCGCGTTTCTTCGCCCCGAGTTGATTGCCCTCCGTGAACGAACACCCGAAGGGATCAGAAGAGGACAAGGTATTGAGATTGACCGATATCCTTTTTGGGGGGCCTTCCGACAGGCTCTCGTCGCCATGGCTGGGTTCGCCACGAAATTGTCTGCAGAACGCACCCCCCGAGAGGTCCTGGGAGTGGCGGTATCAGTGTCTTTTTGATCCCCACGGGAAGTGGGGAGGAAGGCGCTTCCGCTCTTCCTCCCTTCTCTCGCGATGTTCCAGCCTCGGGATGCCTTCGGCGGCTGCGCCTCGCCGAGAGCGTCCCATGGGGTGCCCACGTCCTCCCGAACGGCCGCCAGAGAGCCGAGCTCTGACCCAACAGCCAGAGAGCAACAGGGGGGGGAGAAGGATTTTCGCATGGAGTCAAGGGCATACAAAAAACGCCCCTACAACAGGAATCCAGGGTCCAGGCCCCTTCGAGAGTATTGTGGAGGCCTTGCGGCCGGCGCCGCCGACCCCGGGCCCGGATGACGACGACCACGACGACGAGCACGACAACGACAACGACGAGCTGATGACCCTGCCATAGGCTCCAGGCACGGGGCGGGTGGTGGATGGAGGAGGAGGATGAGGAGGACGACGAAACTCCTGTGGGCTGACAGGGTAAACCCTGCGTGATGTGCCGCGTCCTGGCGGCTCAGGAGGTTTACAGACCACGCACTTGTAACCCAGGGTAGGGTCGTTTTTTCATCCCTCAATGGAGGGGCCATCGACCACCGAGGCCCACTCATCGCCAATAGGGGCCTGATGGCCCACCCCGCCCGGGAACATGCGGACCTGCTGTCGGAGGCCGTTCGCCGACCCATCGGCGACGCATCGCCGGTTTCAAGTCCGTGTTCCCCCCAACCTGAGCCGGTCCTTGCAAGTGATCCTCGTCGTCTCGTTCTCGGATCAGCACTCGGGTCTATGGCGGTCGTTCGGGATGATCTGGGCACCCCTACAACGCTTTCGGCGGCGCAGCTGCTTGAGGGCTCCCCAGGGCCAGAAGACCGCCGAGAACCGACGAAAGCGCGCCCCAACAACTAAGCCTGAGCCTATCCCCTGTGAGCATGCCCCCCCCCCAGTTATCGTTCCCCCTCGCCAGGTCGGCGACGTGCTGAACCTCATGGGTGCTGTGCACCTGCGGTTCCCCACGGGAAGAAAGGGAGGCGGCACCAGACGTGCTCTCTGTCGGAGGTCGGCGCGGGCCTCCCCGGATCGGCGCTGGAGCCCCCCTCCTTGGCGCGCGGATCGCGCCGGCCCTGTTTTCGGACCCGCCCTGCACCTGCTCGCCCAAGCCCACCAGCTCGCGGCATCGGTCTCCTCCTCCTCCTCCTCCTCCTCCTCCTCCTTCTCCTCCTCGTCCTCCTCCTCCTCTTCCTCGTCCTCCTCCTCCTTCTCCTCCTCCTCCTCCTCCTCCCCGGCACTTTGTGATTATCCTGGCTACAAATGTGGCAGACATGCACCCCCAAGGCTGCAAGCAAGTAGGGCAAGAGTTGCCGCCTCAGGGCCAGTGGGGCGGATAGCTCAGCATCGTCACGGTGGAAACAGCGGCGGCCAAGTGAGAGGGAATCGGCATCAAAGGCGCTTGTCAAGTAGGGCGGAAATTTCCGCTCGACTTGCGAAATCCTACAATCTGCATGCGCCCTTACCAAAATTTTCTTGCGACATTTTGACGGAATACTTACGAAATCTTACATCATTCCCGCCCTAGTTGCAAAAACGTCGCAATCTCCATTTGCCAACGCGTCCTACAGTCAACCCGCATAGCAAGGATGAGCGACTTTCCAAGGTTACCCTTGCATCCTTGCCCCTTCGGCCCATCCTTAGCGACTTTCGCTGGCCAACCTCGCTCGAAAAATGTTAACGTTGCCCTCCAAGGCCTCTGCATCCGTACCGCGCATCCTTATTACGATCGAGCATATGATTTAGAAGCCTCCTCCTGAAAAGTTGGGCCAGCGGTTCTCAACCAACTTGCCGGGAAACTGGGCCAGTTTCTTGAACACGCTCGCCCCATCCAGCGTGAACAGCAGAAGTTGATCCAGGCTTGCATTCAGAAACGTCGATGAGGCTGGTCCAGATTTCTTGAATATCATTTTTCTTGATCATCTTTTCGACGGTATACGCGCTGACGTTACCAGATGCACAGCCGAGCGGGCGAACGTACGAAGTCGCCCAGCAAACACGGCGGATCCGAGGCCAGGGACGGCTGGCGCAAGAGGCGCCGCCAGCGGGGCCGAATGCAGCGGCGCCCTTCCCCTTCGGCCCATCCTTGGCCGCTTTCGCAGGCCGCGCCCCACTCGCAGAGTGTCGGCGTGGCCTTCCAAGGCCCCTGCGTCCTTATCGTGCGTCCTTGTTTTACGGACTGCCTGTGCCGGATGCGCGGCCGAGCGAGCGAACTTACGAAGTCGCTGAGAAAGTACCGTCGGGCCGGTGAAGAAGAAACCTTTTTCGTTGGGGAGTGGCTCAGTGTTCCTTGATTGTTTTACAGCTGTTCTTAGGTGTTCCTTCGGTGTTTTTTTATTTAGGATTCCTCATGACAGCGTTGCGAGTCTACGGCGGATCCGAAGCCAGAGGGAGGGCTGGCGCCACAGGGGCCCCAGCGCCGAGCCAAGCGATCCACGCGGACCCTCGAGAGAGTGGATTCGGCAAGGGCGCCCTCGAGGGCGCGAAGTTTTTCGCGCTTCGCGCTGCGCAGTGCGATTCCTTCTCTTCTCCCTCCGTTGCCATTTTAGCTCAAGATGCCGGTGGAGCGAGGGAAGCCCCGAGTCTCCGCTCGACCCGACTTAATTTCCCGGTCTCCACGCCGTCCGGAGAGCCAAATCGATTACCATCCCAATTTCCAATTGCGGCCCTCCCCGCGCGGGCTGCATCTCTTCCACATCCTCGCGCCATGGTTGTTGTGGGCGGCGGCCAGACTCCCCAGCGTGCTGACGACGGCAACTGCCGCCCGCCTCCCGCAGTTCGCACCGGGGCCAATCTCGGCGAGAAGGACTCAGTCTCGGTGCGGGCCCCCTGGGCACAAGCTGGAGGTGCTGGCGCCCCCCCTCAGCTGCAGGTGCATTTCGTGGCAGTCACGACCCTGAAGCTGGAGATGTCGAAGCCGTGCTGCGAGCCGCCACGGACAAGATCTTCAACAGCAGCAAGCTGATCCTCATCGAGGCAAAAGGCGAGCTCGTGGCGCTCGCCCAGGCCGAAGCTAGCCGCTGCCTCGCAAATCGCTGCCAGATTGGTGCAAGAAGCCGCTGAGCAACAAGAGACGCGCACCAACACCACGGTTCGAGACGTCGCGGAGCTCACGCAGAGAGCGGCGGCTTCGGAGGCCCACGTCGCGAGTGCCCCCGAACAAGTCAAGCAAATCAATGCCACGCTCGCCAGGGCCAACGCCGAGATTCCCATTGGTGAGCGCCGCCGAACTGAGTCAGTTGGATCGGAGAAGCAAGGCCAACCTGTTCCACATCCAGTGCGTCGAGATCACTGACCCTGCGCAGGTGCGCAATGGGCCCAACGACTAGACAAAAAGGCTGCAGGCATCAAAGACAGAGACCGGCGATTCCTAGAAGGCGCTACTGGACGAAGAGTCACGTTGCAGCTCATAAGTGGCGCCGAATTCTACGGCCCCAGAGCCGCCGCGCTGGTCAACCATCTCAAGGACGTCAACAACAACTGGCGCTCCTTCTCGGCGAAGGCGCAGTGCAACGGCATCAGAATCCAACCCGCGCGCGTCAACCCAGACCGCTCGCCTAAGAAGATCCGCGCAGAGATCCAATCCAAGCGCCTCAAGCGCACGCGCGACGAGCTCAACCCCGACGCAGGTAGCTGGGCGCACCGCAAAGACGAAGGCGAATAATTTGTCGATGGTCAACCTCTGGTCCGCGCGCCCTGCCCAGCTGCCAACGAACCCGCGAAGTTGGAATGGCAGGAGCGATTCGCAGCCGACGCGCAGATCCACGAAACGGCCACCAAGGAGAAGTTCGAGAAGTTCGCGGCCAGGGCCACGGAGCAGCGGCGTCTTCGACCCACGGCTCTCCAGGAGCAACAAGAACGGCGACGCCAGCAAGATTGAGCCGGGGCGCCAGAGGCCGCTGCAGCCGGCCCAAACAGCGCGAGCGCAAGATGCAGATCGTCCAGAAGCACATGCAAACCAACGCCTACAAACGTGGCGAAAGAGGCTCGCGGCGCGCAGGAGGAGCTCACTCGCGACGCCAATCGCTTCCAATTCAACTACAAGGTCGCCCTCTCGTCGCGCCCATTCAGAGCGGCGGGCGGCGTGGCCATCATGGCGCCGCCCACTTCTCCCCGGCAGTTGCGCGACTTCCCCGCGGCAGACCGCCCGACTTCCGCGAGGCGGTGCAAGGTAGGGCGGCGCTGTTGCGCATCGCCAACCCGAAGAAGAACTCCCGCATCGCCATTCTCATCAGTCGCAACAACGGCTTGACTGCTCGCGATCGACGCGCGATCGGGGGGGCTTGGCGACGCGTCATTGCGTGGGCCAATGCGCGCCCTGAGCGGAGGGCAGCGGTCATCGGCGGCGACTTCGACATCGCCAACGGCCCGCCCATGGACCACATCGACCCAGAAGTCGATCACGGCGCTGAAGGCGTTCGGCCTCGGCGGCATCGCCAAGGCGGCGCGCTGCCAGCCGAGGGCGGGCGCGATGGAGGGGGGCGGGAGATTCGGCCCCCGCCCCCCCCCCCCCCAACCCCGCCCCACCCCGCCCCCAGGGGTCGGCGCGGGGGCCGCTCCACTCGCCGTCGCTTCCAGCCGCGGTGGCGGCAACCGCTCCTCGACATCGCTCTGGAGATCTCCGCGGACCTCCCGACTCATTCAACGTGGCCTCCCAGACCAGCGCGACGCGGGGCCGCATCTGTCTCGGCGCGGCCACCCACGCGGCGACTCGATATTCCGCGACAACGCAGGCGGCGGAGGGCGTCGCGACGGCCGGCGAATGCAAGCTGAGCGACCACGCTCCCACATTGCTCACTATCGCGTCGAAGGCCGAGGCCCCCGTCGGGGAGCGCCCCATCCCGGGCTTCATTTTCGGCGCCGACGGCTACAAGCAGCACCCCGACTCCTCGCCCAGGGCGCGCCCGCCGCGCTCGGATCGGCCCACCCGTGCCCGAGGCTCTCGGACACGAAGCCGGTCGCGGCTCTGGCCGCGCAACGCGCGCTGTCGGAGCTCCAGGGGCAGCCCATCTCCAGCACCCACGGCTCCGCCAAAGAGACCCGCTGGGTCACGCTGCGGAGCATCGCTCGTGCCGCCCGGCGTCGCGACGCCCATCTCGGCGCCCGCCTGCCCGGTGCCGAGTTAGGCCTGGCGCGCTTCGACCTCGGCCGCGGGCCCCGAAGATCAGGGAAGTTGCCAACTTCGCCCGCGTCTCTCCCGAGATGAGGACGGAACGGGCCGCATCCCAAAGGAGCGACGTTGCGCGACATTTCCAGCAACATCAGCGCGCCCCCCGGGTCGACGCGCGCGGCTCGCGGGCATAAAAAAGATGGCGAGCCGCGGGCAGGAGCAAGCGGCACGCCCTACTCGGGCCGAGGGCGCTCCCAGCATGGCGGCTGCCGTCGTCGAGCACTGGAAGCCGATCTTCAGCGCCGAGGAGGTCGGCGCGGGTGACATCCGCGAGTTCTTGCTAAAATGGCAGCACAATCGGGGCATCTCCAAGGCCCGCCAAACTTCACTGTCAGAGGTCAAACGAGTCGCCCGCCTCTCTCGGGCGTCGGCTCCAGGCCCAGATCGGCCCCCATGCACAGCGTTGGCCGAAACGGAGGGGGCGCGCGAGATCCTGTTCGAGCTGACGTCAGCCACCCCAAGTGCAGTTTCAACTATTCGGAGTTCGCCTTCATTCCCCAAGGCGACGAGCCCGGGGACATCGAAGCCCGCTATCGCTCGGTTGGGCAGGTGCGTCCACTGAGTTCCAAGAACGCCGACTCCGAGATCGTTGCTGCGGCGCTGGCTCGGCGCGCCCGGCCCGTTGCGAAGGCCGAGCGCCACGAGGCCCAGCAGGGCGTCATATGTGGCCGCCCTTTCGCGGCGCGCATCCCGAATCTGGGCGCGAAGGCCCGCCTTGTGGGCCTGCTCGACGAGGGGGAGAGACGCGCGCCTCTCTTCGCGAGTTTTGACTTCGGCTCGGCCTTCCCGA